AGTAGTAGTAGTAGTAGTAGTAGTAGTAGTAGTAGTAGTAGTAGTAGTAAATGGGCTTAGCTTTCAGACTGTTAAATTAGCATTGATAGTACTTCTTATTTTGGGGAGGAGTGTACTGAATGGCTTTCACTTAGCTCGGTCATAGCTGATTTATCATCTTACATCAATTTACCTGTTCTGCCAACTAACCGGTTTGGCAGTATGGTGTTACCATGGTGCTTTCTTGGAACTGAGAGCTGCTTTTGCAGTTGCCTTGGCACAAGGTTGTGGGCTGCCATGATCTCTGATTTCATTTCTCAGGAAAATTTGTTAACCAATTGGCTGATACTGAGATATCAGAAGGTACGTCTAAAACGCTGAACTCTCCTCCCACACAGGACGTACTTCCATGCGCCCATATGATAGACCAGCGAGTCCGTCAAATCTATGACATCGGTGCCGGTTCTTTGATGTCTTCCGTGAACCTTCTTTATTTACCTATTACCTAGTACTTACGCTCTTTTGAAACCAGTGCTTAATATGCACTTTTTTCCATACACTTTAGGTGGATAAACGCATTTGTACAGTCGCAAAGCTTTCGTTTCAGTCACTACTTTGTCTGCTTCTTCAGCCAGTCCCTCCAAGAGCTTATAGGGTTCTCCGCGGTCACTGGACTTCCCTCTCAGTGAGTCGTCTTCCTCTCTTCTATTTCATATTTTCTCTCGAGTCTCTTCTCCCCAAGTGACTCTTTGCTGCCGGAAATATATTCGGCGAGGAAACCGGTATGCCTGGTTTCGGTCTCTTGCTTATTTCCATTGTTTCTGAGGAGGGGCTAAATCCCTGAACTTTTCGGTAATCGGTCATACTTTGATAGATTTCTATGGATATTTTCCAAAAAATATCCCACAGAGTGCTGTTCGGTGATTTGATATTCTCCTTTTTTTACCCCGCTTAAGTCAGGGCAAGCGGTTTGCAAAGTGCGCGAATCCTGTTGCTGTCGAATTCCCGCGGTCGCTAGTTGATGTGGTCGTACACTGGAATTTTCCAATGCACATTTGGCTGAAGCAGTGTATGTTGCCCACTTTTTATCTCCATTCAACTCCTTACCATTTACTGGTGAATGCTTTTTCAATACGCTCACTTTTACGGAAGCCTACTCCAAAATTGGACTTTTTTTCAAATTTTGGTAGTAATGTTCGATTGCCACTGGTGTAGGAGACTAATGATCCCCACTGCATTTTCAAGCTCATGATGCCTCCGATTTTTCAGAAAAAAGTACAGAGAATGACCCTTCCTTGAAGATCATTTTTGGATATCAGTAATGTTGCCCGCAGCATTGTCAATAGCCTGTGAGGTCCTAATCGAGGAGAGTAGTAGATGCTTTCCCTTGTTATTTTGAGTTTATGTGTTCTTTTTAGTTTGGCATGTCCCTGGGTATGGGTTATGGCTGGT